GGAAGATTTTCGAAACTGGATCTCACAAAATCTTTAATTTCTACATTAACAAAGATTTTCAACATCAGTGTCGTGAATAATATGACCATCATCAACGCGTTGTCTTTTTCTCTCGCGAGAACCTAATGATCTGATACATTCTGACGCCATATTGAGACTTGTTTGGTGCGCATGCTCCATAAAAATTCAAATTAATGTGCAAATTAATTATGTTTGATCTTCATCTTTTCTTACCTTTCATTTCTTTTGAATAATCTAAGTCCTCATTGTTTTCACCAGCTGCTGTAGTTACCTTCGATAATTACAGTTTTAGATACAATAAAGATAATTAGTTTACGATTCAACATTTACAAATCTGTTGTTAAGACACTCAAAATAAAAAAAAAAAACGTAACGAGGGGTGTATATTACCGACTGAAATATGTCGTCATTAGACGTATTGTCCCCCGTTGTCAACACTTTACCGCCTATTAACTCAAGTTCAAGTCGATGTACGTAGTCTTGTGTCTTAATAATCCCGATGAGAATGATGGCCGGATAAATAAAAAACACAACGAAAAGTGTTGTTATGTTTGCCACGTTAGAGCAACGTGGAGACTTGCTACGTGCCTCAATCATGGTGACCACGGAGTCTATCTCGAAATAGTTATATGTAGACGAGTGAACGACTCCGCAGAATGGATCGGTTCTTATAGTCCGCACGGCACTGCACTGTTACTAAATATAAACTACGGCGGGAGAGAAAGGGGATATATTTTGGGGTGATGGGAAGCCCACAAGGACCATTCTCGGAAAAAAACCTGATAAACATGTATAGCGTTGATAAGAATTTTAGAACAGAAACTTAATTATTACCTTCATGTTTTGATATTTTAATATGTTTCTTTTGTCTTTCTTTTAAATATTTCTATGCCAGGTAAGAGTACTTGCATATCGCATATATAGTGTGTTTGCCGACACGAACATAACACAAGCATCTGTTGATTACACTCGTTAGTAATGATGAATTACGGCGAATAAATCAAAGTCTTCTACGTGCCCACACCTCGTGTAGATTTGAACTAAGGTCTACCAGCTGTGAGTCTGATACGAAATATGCTAATTTTAACCTTTGACTCGATATCCATATATGTCAACATATTTGGATT